GATGATGAAGTTGGACATGTGATAAGAGTGGATACGAACTCACCTTGGCAAGATACTTGTCTACGGACTCTTGGACGAAGGTAGTCGACAAGAAGAGCGGAGTCAGAATGGCACCCGTCTCATTGTCGGGGGCGACTGAGGCGTGTACCTGGGTAAGAGATGTGGGTCACCACTGAGACCCAGTACAGCATACCAGTTCAGTTCCCATACCCAGAGGGCCTGGGATCCATTCTCCAGCGATTGTCTCTTTACCAGAGGACATAAAATAAAATCAAGTGCCAACCGGACTGGAGGAAGAAGTACCAACTCGGGAGCAACCGGCAACACTCGAGCATTCGACCGTTGTGTGCATACAATGCAGATCCAAGCGAAACAAGATCAACCAGATTTCCATTAAACAAGGTCACTAGCAATTCTAGAATCGTTTCTCGGGGGGATACCGGGAACTCGGGCGTTTCTCGTTTTTTCGTCGGAGTTTTCGTGTGGTGTTTCTCTCACCGCATTGCCAACCTCATGGACCTCAGCCTATCGGATAGGCCCTATCCGTATAACGTCGTTGTAGATCAAAAGGCGACGCACTTCTTTGGGCGGCCTCGGCCTACAGCAACGGCGATGGCCTGTAAGACAGTACGAGACAGCTGCTGACGGTCAATATTGGTCCTCAACCCTCGCGAGACATCGTTCTCACTGGAACCACCAGTGATGGTCCATAACTGTCTTCCCGAGTCCAAGTTATACGCTCTCGATCCTATCAAGCCACTCTCTCGAGCTCGGCGAAAGCCTTGGCAGTGTTCGCTAGGCTCTCCTGAAATCACTGCTGACTTCAGCCTGGATGAATTCGTGAGTGGTTATGACGTAGCCACGTTGAAGTCTGGCCACTATCAGCTCTGCGATGTCAGTTCGAGGTCAGCATCGTCGTGGAATGCAGCGCAGCTTTCATTGTCGAAAAGAAATTGTTGATGCCCATTAGCTGGATCGCGTGGTTCTCGTCGGCTTTGATCAAGTTAGTGATCAGCTCTGGCTCCAGTGATCCTTGA